TTTTCTTTCAGGGAGAAAACTTTTGTGATCCTTCCAAACTCCACTACTCACATTCCCAAGTTATTTCTGTTGTAGATCACGTCTATGGAGAGCAACTTAAAGACGATAGAGGAGGAGAACAAACTCATAGAACAGAACAATGAAAGTCTGCTAAAAGAGCTGGCGGGTCTGAGCCAAGCTCTCATTTCAAGCCTTGCTGACATCCAGCTTCCACAGATGGTAAGTTCAAGGCCAGATCCTTGCTGTTCCATTACAAGCATTTGCAGTGTCATCATGCATTTACCGACAGGGTTGCCATGACTGAGCTTTGAGCTTTGAGGAGACCTGTGAGCAGTCACAGAGTGACCACACTTCATCACAGTCTGGTTTGGAGTAATCTCCCTCTCTGGGAACGTGGTAGATACATTTATTTAAATTATATTAAGGCCAAGAATTTTTTTAGAGGCCAAAGTCATTTAAAAACAAAGGATTTTTTTGAAGCTTGGTTCATAGTGTCATGTGAAAGTTGAATGGGCAAAATTCCCTCAGTGAAAATGTTATTTCCAAGTAGAAGATTCCATGTCTTATAAAATCTGAGACCATTATTTGCATCATCCACCCAACTCAAGAACTGTAATCAAAGATGTTCAATTCCCAATGGACTAGGTGCTTTCTTCATATGGAAGTATGAAGAACCTACTTCAGTTCTCCTCATATAAAATAAAAAGCAAAAAAAAAAAAAATGAGCAAGGAATCCTCATTTTCAAAATCGAAGCATGTCTTTCAGGTATGCAACTATAGACCTCCAACACTTAATAATGGGCACACATTCCAAGAAATGTGTCCCTTAGGCAATTTTGGCACTGTGTGAACATCATACAGTGAACTTCTGCAAACCCAGATGACAGACCCTACTTTACTTACTGCACACCCAGGCTATATGGTACAGCCTACTGCTCTGAGGTTACCCACCGGAGCAGCATGTTAGTGTACTGAATATTTTAGGCAATTACTAGTATTTGTGTATCTAAACATGGAAAAACATATCTAAACCATAAAAATATGCTGTTGTTATCTTATGGGACTACCATCATATATTCAGTCTATCATTGACTGAGATGTTGTTATACATTGCATGACTGTATTTGGAATTCATAGAAAATTAGCCTCTTTTACATATTCTTAAATACAGACAAATATTTGGAGGAGAGTCTACATTGCTGAATGCTTTTAATCTCCTCAGAACCTAAATTTTTAGAATAATTTTTCCAAAGATGCCAATTTTATATATGAAATTATTTATGGAAGCAGCAATGTGATAAAGAAATATAATTGATTTTGGTTGAAACATTAAGCCCCTCAATTTTACCCAAGTTCTTAGCATGGAGTTCTTATCTTAAACAATTCCAAATATGTTTCTTGACTCCCACCTGCCAAAAATCAATAATGTAATAATGAACACAAAGCAAAATAAATGATGCCACTATGGTAAGGATTAAGATAATTATTCAAAATCATTGTAATGTTATTTATTAACATTGCATAAATCATACTTTGAATATGCATTCCTTAGTATTTTCTTCTTCACCGCTGCTATAAAAAATAGGTACTACACAAGTTAACTTGTGCCTTGTGTACTCACCACACAGAGCACTCCAGTGGTGATTTTTAGGGCTGATCACACAAAATGTTACAAAAGCACCAAAGAGCGAACATTAGTATTCCCATTCCATAGTTGAAATCAGGGCTCAGAGAGCTTACTTAATTTGATCAAGTTTCCAAAGCTAACACAAGGTAAGTGGGCCTGGCCCTGCCGAGTGGCCTTTATCCACTGCGCTATCTGGGTCCCCATCCCATTCCCTGACTCTCCAAGAAACACAAGGCACAGCAAAGGCAGGAAAGTGAAGGGGACAGAGAATCACGATTGGACAATACTAATAATTTAGATCAGCGCTTTGCCGAGCAGAGCACAACCAAATAGCTTCAAATTTAGATAGCTTATTTCCTTAAATAGCAACAATAGCACTATACTTTGTCATTTAAATGTCCTTTCTTCCAAGCACCTTGCAAAGTAAGTCTCACGCCATGTGTTTTTAAAAAGGAGGGAAAATGGTGGCAACAGAAATGACTGAGTAACATTCCCCTTGTGATATTCATTCCGTTTCACATTTGTGTGAAATTTACACATATCCAGCCTGTGCTCTCCTTGAAGCATCACACTGGGTAAAGGAGAGACCAACACATACAAAAAGAACAGAGAGGCCAAGTGCAGTGGCTCACGCCTGTAATCTCAGCACTTTGGGAGGCCGAGGCGGGTGGATCACCTAAGGTCAAGTATTTGAAACCAGCCTGGCTAACATGGTGAAATCCCATCTCTACTAAAAATACAAAAATTAGCCGGGTGTGGTGGTGCACGCCTGTAATCCCAGTTACTTGGGAGGCTGAGGCAGGAGAATCGCTTGAACCTGGGAGGCTGAGGTTGCAGTGAGCTGAGATCACACCACTGCACTCCAGCCTGGGCGACAGTGCGAGACTCTGTCTCAAAAAAAAAAAAAAAAAAAAGAATAGGGGATGAATAAATTTAAACTTTGTGAAATTGATATTCTGCCTGCAAAGACTGAGAAATGTAAAAAGTGTTATTACGATGATGCCACAGGAGAAAACAGGTTCAAAGGGTCTGAGGATGGAGGAGGAAAATTTTCCATCACAACTGTTACTGAGTAACTTGCTCAAATCTTAAATACCTTAAGTTTCTGCCCAGTGCTGTTAAAGGCACCACTTAGTACAAGCAACCCTTCTGAGCCTCACAAATATTCACCTTCCACAAACAGGAGCCTCTGTTGTGCAAGGCATGTGCAGTCAAGGCTGAGACTGCCTCCCAAGAGAAGTAGAAAAGTTCTGTGGAGTCTGAGTCCACAGCCAGACATATACTTTATGCGCTCCAAATCAACCCCAAATACTGTACAAGTCAGTCACATTCGTCTCCCGAATTAAGAGTGAACAGATGAATCCCACACACACTCCATCTCTCTCCATCTCCTGCAACTCCAGCAGCCATATGCACCCTTGCCTTCCCTCCTGACTCCCGGATCACTGATCTTCCATGTCACTGGGTCCTTCTTTTCCCTCAGCCTGAACCACTGTGATTGGGTCAATGTGTTTTGTCTCCATTTAGGGACCTATCAGTGAGCAGAATTTTGAAGCATATGTAAATACACTCACAGACATGTACAGCAATCTGGAACGGGACTATTCCCCGGAATGCAAAGCTCTACTGGAAAGTATCAAACAGGCAGTGAAGGGTATCCATGTGTAGGATCACAGCACTGCCGAGCAACAGAAATTACCAACAGCAGCAAACTCCAGATGGATCTGTTAGTGGTTCGTGTACTGCTAAGGCGTGGAGGTTGCCGTACTGCATTTACAATTGCAACATTGCACTAATTTTATTTTCCCCAGCTGATATAAAAAGGAAAGAAAAACTATGATAGACTTCTTGGATTAAAAGCAATGCAGTCAATTATTAGATCTTATTTATTTTCATATGATTTTCTTTTATTTCCTCATTGTACTCTTTTTTTGTAAAGTATATGTAAAATAAATGTGACATTTTTATAATTTATTTATTACTAATCGAAGAGTTTTTTATCTTTTAACTGCATTTTGAAGTCTGCCATATTTTTACAAGTGTGTTATTAATTTATTTTCCAATAGGATTTACATAGAAATGCTATTCTCAAGTCATCTTTCTTGCTGGGTTTTAATGAGGAAACAGGAAAGGGTGAAGGAAATCCTTGTCTAAGGACTGCACTATAGTTGAGTTTGATTTTTATTGCACACTTCTTCCCCCACCTTTCACTGGTTTTTGTATTTATAAATGAGTTTGTGGTAAGGTGAGCTGCACAGAAGGAATAAGAAGACAAATGGCGCCCACTAGTGGGTAATCCGCACTCACAAAAGCACAGGATGCTGGAAAACAGCCTGCTCAGAATTTGTTAGCAATAATTAAATATAGCAATCAGCAAAGTATTCGACTTGGCTGGACGGTTTTCGTTAATATGAATTATTTATTTGAAATGTTTTAAAGAAACATAAGCTTTTTTAGTGATGCAGATTTGTCTGTTTGTTTTTCAAGTCATATCAGATCGTTGGCAACTCGTTTCCCAAGATGAAAAATAAGACTTGGTGTGACCAGCCAGGCTTTCCTGCCATATGTTGGTACAATATACAAGTGACAATATTGGTGTATATTTGTACTTAGCAAATACAAACACATCCAAATGAAAAATTCTGTAGATACCGTATCCCCTGAAATAGCATTTATCTTACTGGGTTGACTGGAAAGGAATGGAAAATATAGTAACACATGAAGAAATGTTACTCCAATCTGAGTGATTACTTCAAACACTGGCAACTTGGGTCTCACCCTCCATAGGAAACAGAACAACATTGAATTTGATAGAAATCTTGCCATAGACCTTCAAGTACTACAAAATATACACACACACTCACACACACAGGCATTCTCACACACACACACACAGACACACACACACTCATCCACACTTTGAATTGAGCCCACAATCTTGAATTTCTGAATGGGTCAGAGTTTCATAGTTGCTATAGTAAAGGCAATGTCTATTTCAGGGATTGTAAAGTAGTTAAGCATTGTTTCAAAAGTTTTTTTATATTTATTTTTTTTAAGGAAAAGGTATAGACAACCAGCTAAACTGCCTTTTTGGTGTGCACACACATTTCATGTGCAGACGTGCCTCTGTGTAAATGTACACATGAACTTAGTGTGGGCTTAATTTTCTGTGCTATAAACGAAAGTGTTTATTTTTTATTAACCTCATGGATATTTAGATGGAACGTGATGGCATTCACAGGCTTGATATATTCCACTGTTATTACTGTTACCTGCACAAATGAAAAACAATACTCAACAATAATTCCACTCCCATGAAATTGTGGTCATTGTTATGCATTAAGTGAGGCTTATGTTTGGTTTGGAGTTCATTTGAACTCTTGAATCTTAGTTTAGTGAAGATGAACTGTCTGTTCTTAGGTAGAAACGGTGTTTATTTAAAAATCAATTTAAAAAATGAGCTACCATATGTGCTGTCTATTATAAATGGGACACCAAACAAAATTTTCTATTACAGTTATGTACTCGCAAACATTTTGCTATACAGTACTTCATGGATGCATACAAATGAGTTCACTTATTACAAAGACAAACGTTTAATTTGCTAAATATTTTAACAAGTTTGTTATATATTTTATTTAATTTAAAAGAAATCTCTTACCAACCTACATATTTATTACTATGATTTACTATGACTTCAGGTTAATTTATTTGTGTTGGCATAGTTTGAGCAGGATGTTTTGTGAAGTATGTTTGTATTTATTTGCCTACTTTGTACTTGATGTGTTTTGTAATGTGCACTGAATTTATTTTCTTTTCAACTATGTTAATGATCAATACTGTAAATTGGTCTTTTGTAAACAACAAAAAGGCAATGATGTATGCATTTTTTTATTTGAGGTAGTTTGTTTGTATACTGTTTCTCCAAACATTTAATATTTCTTACATCAAAGCAACAAAATTGTGTTCAGTGCTGTACATTTGGTGTATGGTAGGAAATAAAAACTGATAACGAGTTTTGATGTGATCTTTCTCAGGCTGTTATCTAGAGACTAGTATCCCCTTCCCATGGAATCCACTGTCCAGAATGAGCCCTGGTGAGGTCCCCAGAGTGCACTTGAGCCTGCCGGTCATTCGGAGACATTTCTGTTCTGACAGCTGGTCTGCTTGCCTTAAAGTGGACAGGACTTTTGGCCAGTTGACAAGCTGTCCCTGCCTTTGATGTGGCATTCACCTCCAGAACAGGGAATGCTTTGACATAAGGAAGACCTTTGCTAGGAGTGGCAGCAAATTCATTCAGATCTAATAGGTGGCAAGATACAGGGCCCACCCTCCTGATTCCAAAATTACTTTGGATACAGAGTATATCTCTAGATTCATATAAGCTAAAATTAAAGAAACTTGAATTAAAGAAAAATGATAATAAATTCTTGATAGCACGCCTTCTGCTTATGTGTTCTTTCTATCTAATGACAAATAGTCATCCTAATTTAATATTTCAGTTTCTGCCCAGATTCATACATCTCTAGAATAAGTTTCCACCTACATTTGATCTGGTTTAAAAAAAAAGTCTATTTAACACATGTAATGAAGCCAAATTGACTGAAGGGAAGTCTGGGTCCAAAGAGGAAAGTCAGAGTGGTACTTGGGAGATCTTCATTTACCAGGAGCCAAAACATAACCATTAATGCACAATATAGCTTTCATTGAGTCACCACACTCACATGTTGAAGACGCGCACAAAATGGATCACAAAATGCAAATCTGCTCAGTCAGGCTCTTAGCTTACCCTTAGCCAAGCATGTGCATCTTGCCCTGATTGGAACTTTTTTTTTTTTTTTTTTCTGAGATAGAGTTTCGCTCTTGTTGCCCGGGCTGGAGTGCGATGGCACAATCTTGGCTCATTGCAACCTCCGCCTCCCGGGTTCAAGCAATTCTCCTGCCTCAGGCTCCCAAGTAGCTGGGATTACAGGCATGCACCACCATGCCCAGCTAATTTTTTGTATTTAGTAGAGATGGGGTTTCACCATCTTGGTCAGGCTGGTCTTGAACTCCAGACCTCAGGTGATCCACCCTCCTCAGCCTCCCAAAGTGCTGGGATTACAGGCGTGAGCCACCACGCCCAGCCTCTGATTAGGATTTTATATCAATGAGTAGTGTCTACAACTCTGTCAACAATGCGTCTTAAGAAGAGCACCAGTCTTACTGGAAATGGTGACTAAGAGTCATCCATTCATCAAAAAGATGTTTACTTGGAACGCGTTTATGTCGGGCCCACTTCCTTACTCCCGTGGGAGTTCAGCCTCATGGGAGACAATGAAATAAGTGAAATATTTTGGTTTGGGTATACACAGGCTCCTGTGGAAACCATGTGAGGGTTACCTAACAAACCTGGATTTCCAGGAAGAATACTGCTTCCGATTCAGCAGGGCAAGTTTGAGAACACGTGCCACAGGCAGTGACAACAGCATGGGCAAAAGTATGGCAATCATCAAGGCAGCAGCTTCACGTATTTAAAGCACTGAAAAATTGGTGAGAAGTGAGAAGATGAGACGCCAAAGCCCAGGTGAGTGGGAAAAGGAGGAGGTCATATTGTAGACTGGCATGCTAAAGAGTTCTAACTTTCACAGACGTCAACATGTGAAAGAAAAATTTAAAATCAGAGAATGACAAGATCCGATTTTCACTGCAGATAATTTGTTCCAGCAATTCAGACGATTAACATTTCATACATCAGGGCAAGAAAATTGTGTTCAATGCTGTGTATGTGGGGTATGGTACAAATAAAAACTGGTAAGGAGTGTTGCTGCGATCATTTTCAGGCCAGTGTATAGAGACTATCATTACCATCCCATGAAAAGTCCTGGGGCCTTCAGACATAAGACTAAAACCCTTCTACTGGAACCAAGGACCTGAATAAAAAGAAGGGGGTGAATAAGTTTTTGATTTACCCCATTAGAAAAAGTTTCAAAAATTAACTTGTTATGGTACATAAGTATTTTATTAATATTTGTAAAAACTAATGTTTTCTACATCTCTTTTCACACATTACATTCATTTTATTGTGGTCTGGGAAAAGTGCCCTGCTATTTCCTCTCATTATTCAGCAGATAATTATAAAGTAAGCAGATTTAATTGGCTAATAACTATCCCCGCTGTCAGACACAATCAATGATGTTTTGTATACTTCATCTCACAAAATGTATCAAGCAAATATCACCATGCACAATTAAACTGATGAGGAAACTGGTGTTTAGCAAAGTTAGTAACTTGCTCAAGACCGTAAAACTAGGAAACGATGCAGCCAGGATTCCACCTCAGATGTGTTTGATTAAAGCAAGGCAAATCCTTTGTCACTATTTTTACAAAAATAATTCTATTGTGGATAGTCCTTCTCTAATGAGGACAATAGCAGGACTCATTGACTTGCACATTTAGAAGTAAATGAGCCCCGTGTAGACCTCTTGACCTAGATGCTCTAACCAACAGGATCTGTCTCATCACCTGTCTGGTGTAGTTTCATCTGGAGGACAGAAAATAAGAACGAGGTAAGATTGAGATGCATGCCAGCATCCAGACATATTCCAATATTCCTCAATCTTAACACTACGGTAACGAGTACATCTCTGAATTCCCTCTTGTAAGCTTCATAGTCACACTGCAACAGAATTCTTATGATCAGCATTACACTAAGAGACAACCAAGGGTTAGAGAGAGTAAACTCTACTCATTGTTTGATGCCCCAGAGATAAGTACCAGGGTCAGAATTCAACTCAACTCTGACCCAGAGGCAAGTTCCTGTCCCTTCTGCAGGCCACCACGACTGCATTTAGCCATACTTGCTGTGCTGGCCACCACCTTACTGGCCTCTGTGCACAGTCATTCAGCAAGAAACAGTTAAGATATATGCCAGGGCCCATTCCAGGAAAAGTTGTTCAAAGAAGCATCATTTTCACATTTACACCACACTTTATGATGTATTTTTCTTGCGTATCATAAAAAATGTGACATCCTAATAATGTATTTGATGAATTGGGATTGAAAAATCTTAATATGGGTTATAATAAATAGCCAAAAATAAGAAAAATGCAAATTGCTCATTTTTTAATTGTTTTTAGAGCAAAACAATATAAATATTTTGTTCTGTCATTAGCTGCTTTGTGTATGCTTGACAGTTTTGAATTGGCCCCCGACAAATAAAAAGACAGTTTGTCCTGAACTTTACCAGCTACTAAATTTTTAAAACATAAATAGAATGTGAAGTTCCCTGCTCTTCAGAAACAGCTGCTGTTTTAGTAGAGTTTTCCACTTAGATGTATATTCTCATATATAAATGTAATCATCTGCCTTCTGTAACTGATGGCCTTGTTCAGTTTTAAGTGAAATCCAGGGTTAGATTTATGGGTTTGATATTCGAAAGTGCGAGTGGCACTTTGGGGATATGTCGTGCTGCTCTGGTTTGGATATTTGACTCCCGAAACCTCATGTGGAAATGTAATCCCCAGTGTTGGAGGTGGGGCCTAGTGGGAGGTGTTTGGGTCATGAAGATGAATTGCCCATGAACAGATTAATATCCCTATGGGGGTGGGGAGGGAGTGAGTTATCATTCCATTCACTGAGAGAGCTGGTTGTTAAGGAGAGCTGGGCACCTCACTCTGCCCTGCTTCCTCTGTCGCCATGTGACCTCTGCACAGTCCAGGCCCCCTTCAACTTTCCCCATGAAGGGGAGCTTCCTAAGACCCTCACCAGAGTGGATGCTGGCATGGGGTTCCATGTACAGTCTGGAGAGCCGTGAGCCAAATAACCTCTTGTCTTTATAAATTTTCCAGCCTCCAGTATTCCTTTATAGCAACACAAAATGTATTAAGACACACTTTAATAATGCTCTTAAAGGGTCAAACTTTTAACTATCAGAAATCTTTGTAAGTATTGATCCCTGAGACTAGTATACTTGAATTTCAAAAATATGAGAGAGAACGCTCAAGTTCTGTGTCTCTTCAAAGACCCAAGGACAAAAACATCCACACCCACGCCGCTGGCTTCTTGCCTGGGCCACGGGTCAATGTCTGCATGGACAAGCCTCTACTATGGGATTGGCTCTATTAGCATGAATGTACTATTCCAGGAAATTCTTGCCTGGGATAAAAAATGGAAAATATCTTCATTATCTGTTCCAAGAACTTCCTAACAATCCATTTACCCGAACCAGATAAAACCAGAACTACTCAATGTACTCTCAGAATAAATACCCCTTCTCAGGACATTCATTCATGTCAAGTGATTGTTTACTCTTTGAGACTCACATTGAAACCTTGGCTTTGCTGTGTGTCTTTCTCCTAAATTGTTATGTTGTGAACTTGCCCAACCCTAATCATGCCCTCACATTCAAGGGCCCTCCTTAAGTCGGTCCCCTCAAATGACATAAATACCCCATGCTTGCTAGCCCCCTTTCCTCACATGCTGTTAAGACTCTGTCAAGGCAAACTCAGTTTTGTTTTATCAATAGATTATTTCAGTTGTATTTTGTGGCAGCCAGCATTTGACAGACCCAAGTAATGTCTACATACACCCGCCAATGTATCTTCCATCCATAGCCCCACTTTTTTGGTAATTATGTATATAAATCCTTCAATTTTGAATAATTGAAAAGCTGTAAGTGTAACTGTAAATGTTTTCAACAACTTTCTTGGATATTTCTATGAACAAAAAAAAAGGGAATGTTTTTATCTCTCCCATGTACCCTTTTCATCGCCAGAGATTCATCTAGATCAGCAGGAAAACTGTACGTAATCTACAACACCAGGAAAGGAAGAATGGAGGAAAGCGGAAGAAACGAAAATAAGAAAATTTATCCATCCTGATAACATGAGGTTTTTAAAAGTAAGTCAAATGTCAATACAAATCCCTCAAGGGCAGCAGCAAAAGTTAACACGTGGTCTTGGAAATGTTCAAAGTCCCCACAGGCACTGCAAGGCACCCTGAAGCTTTTTATAAAGGTGTGTCTGTGTGTTTTAACA